TGTCTATCTTTTAAGGTCGAGTCAGTATAACCTTTTTTATGGTAATGAAATTTGTTCTAAAATAATAATGCATTATGTATAAAATTCTCGCGTCACAGTGTTTGTAACCGAACTTCTCCGAAATGGGTTGACCGATTTGTATGAAATGTTTTATGTATATTCGGTAGGTCTGAGAATAGGTTGTAAACTATTTTTTAAACCCCTAAGTCATAAGGGTGGCCCACCCTAAAAAATGTTTGTCTATTTTTTGGACAAAATTTTTTATTTTTATTTTTTTAAGAATTGGCATCAAAAAATACACATAACCCTAAATTTTCACCTTTCTACCACCAACCCCCATTTTTTAATCGTCTATATAATAAAAATCAATTGCTGTTCCTGTTAGTCTCGCTAAGACTCAAAAACGGCTTGACCGATTTGAAGAATTTTTTATATTACGGGAATGGTTTATAAATAAAAAAAATAAGGAAAACTTAAAAGAACAGTTAAAAAATAAAAAAATTCTAAAAATTTTGTATGGGAATCGCCACTTCGAATTAATTTCAATAGTTGGCGTTTATGACGGACCTGTCGTCTAACTGACGTGTCATACAAAACTAATTCTTCCGTGTAATTGTGAAAAGTATATTGCATTTCAAGTCGTTTTTGGTTTTTTCGTAAGAAAAAAACGTCGTTTATTTTAAGAAAAGTCTTGGTTAAAGTGAATTTAATTATAATTACACATTGCGAAAGTTTCTTATTAATTTTGATCTGCCATTCTATTTACCTATATTCACTTTGTTGGTTTCGACAAAACCGTTATTCGAGGATTTAATTTGAAGTTTTCAATATTTTAAAATTCTCAAGACAAAATTTACAGATTTGATTGACTGTGAAAATAATTATGTGTCGTTTTATGAAGTTCATTAAAATTCCGAGAAGACGACAACCTCACATAGGTCCTCGAAGTCAATCAAATGTGCGACGAACTACCTCAGGTGCAAACCGCAATGATTTATTTCATGGGTAATTCGGATATGGAAGTTGATCAACGTTGTGCTCATAATCAACATAATCAAACATTAAAGCAAGACATTGGGTGGTATAGTTTCCTCAAACCTATAAGGCGTTTATGGCTTTGACGTTTAAAGTACTTTACACCCGACCCTTCATAAAGCTTAGTAAATGTAAACCATGCCACGTGCCAGGGACGGCCGAGACGCGAAGGACCGGACTAAGAGTAATTTTGTTTTTAACGTTTCTTCCGTACCTTAATTAATTAATCATTATTCTGCACATTTGAAAATATTATTAAGATACTGAAACCAAAAAACATAAAATCTTTAATAAGAACGATCGCAATCATAGAAAACTGGTCCATTAAGTTTTTTGATAAATCAAATAATTTTGACGATGTCACCGTCCTTTGTTTCAAATCCAGAGGGTACATTCATATTGCTGTTATATTAAAAATAATACACGACTAGAGAGCGAAAAGTATGCAGCAAAATTTTGAGAAATATGACCATGTAATATGCATGAAATTTATGCAAATATGCTGTAACTTTATTAATATATGCAGAGATATGCAGTTGCATATCCTCCAAAAATTGAAAAGAAGTGTAATAACACAACTAAATTTATTTACAAATTATAAAAACAGGTTTATCAAGCTTAATTTTTTTAATAAAAAATTAAAAAAATACATGGATAAATAAAATTTTTAAAAATTATTGTCTTACACTAAATAGTGACAAATAAATAAAAATTAGTAATAATAGATCATTTAATTAGTATTTTTGTAGCAATTTATTCTTAAATACTTTTCGAAATATTGTAGCAAAAAATTTTGCCGACGATCCGAAAACATATATTTGTAAATAGAAATGCGGTTTGTAGCAGAAGCTACAAAACACAGTGCCTTCTTGAAGAATAAATTCAGTAAAAGACCAGTACAGGGCACGGTTGATAAAACCGTTAATTGTTAATTTAGAAGAGTCGAGTGATGATGACAGTGACTATTTCGATCAATAAATAAGCAGTAGTACTTAATAAGTAATTAGTTGTGTATGTCAAAATTCTAACTAATTTGCTGTAATAAAAAATCATTGAGTACAAAGTTACTTTGTTTTTGCTTAAAATAAAAAAATCGAAAGGCGCAGTTGTCGGTAAATGCAAAACTCTGTCCTGCCCTGTGCTTTTACCAGACAAGGTCTTTTCAGGTAGGTATCGGTGAGCGGGTTTAAGACATCCGGTTGTCACGGCCTATTGAATTATAATGGGAGCCAAATTGGTGTGAACTCATAAACGCCTTATATGTTTGAGGGAACTCTATGAATAAAACTGAGTAGATACTCATATTCGAAGTACGAAGTACCTACTCCATTATTACTCTTATATACCTGAGCAGCTACTCTATGTACTGAGTACCTACTTGGAAACATTGTATCTCCCCGGACACAAATAGAACATCTACGCGTTTTGTGAGCATTTAATCTAAAAATGAGGATCGGCGTGGCAAATAACTGAGCTGTCTGTAAAGCAGCTTAGAAAACGAGCAGGATCGTTGTAAGAGTGAATTTTAACTAAACATGGCGACTTCCATGAACATGGAACGTCGTCAAAAGGTGCATTTAGTTTGAAAAACACATTAGGAGCAGGAATATCGAAAACTTTTCAGGTAATTAACTTTTATTTATGCATAAATTGTGCAGTGCGTTTTTTATAACACTGGTCATAGAGATTCCCATCTCAAGGTGTCTACCCCATACTAACTTATATTTTGGTGACTCGATTTTTGCTTTGATGGTTGAACACTGTCACTGTTGTCCTTTTTTGTTGTATCGAGATGCTACTTGAGCATCAACTGTTCCCTACTCAAGTATTAATGTCATCTAGAAAAACTAGAAATATTTTGATTTGATATTCGAGTAGATACTTCGTATTTCGAGTATGAGCATCTACTGAGTTTTATTTATATCAACCATTGTCAAAAAGTTGATCGAACGTTGTTTCGACAGAACTTCCTTCGCACCAAAAGTATAATGAAACATATTCAGCATTTTCGAGTTGAGTCTTTTCTTCACACAATTTTGTGATGACCTAATCAACATTTACGATCAACACGTATACCACCTTGGATTGGTGCAGTGTAATACTAAAAATAACTGTATTGTATTCCCAAAATTATCTGCGAAAATCGAGTGAGCCATTCCATCAATTTTTTGGGGGCAATAGATAAATATTCTTAACAATTTACCATGCTTACAATAACTTTAAAACGTCTGCAAGATCTCAAAGTATTCATTTTTGCAACTCTTGAGTTATTCACTAAAATAAATTGACTGATCCATATATTTTTTTGAGTCACTGTAAAAGCAAATCTAAAAAATATGAATGCAATGATAAATTACGAAAATGTACTGATGATATTTTCCACATTTTAGATAGGATTTATTCGGCAAAATCTTGAGATGACGTCTTTAAGTTTTTGGGCTTGATAAACAGATATATTTTGATTGAAAACCTACCATGTCAAACAGTAACTTCAAAACCTCTGCAATATTTCAAAATTCAGTTTTGCAATTCTTGATTCAATCAATAAAATAAATTGACTCAGTGATAATTTTTTTGAGACACCCCCTATAAGCAAAACTAAAAAATATGAATGGAATGATAAATCACAAGTATAGTCTCATCCTATTTTAGACATTTTAGATAGGATTCATTTGGGAAAATTTTGGGCTGACGTCATCAATTTTTTGGAGGGGATAAGTAAATATATTTTGAATAAAAATTTATTATGCTTGTCATATGTTTAAAACATCTGCAAGATTTCAAAGCATTCGATTTTGCAGATTCAAAATTAAATTGTAGGTGAAACGAAGTTCACGGGGTCAGCTAGTACTAGATATGAATATGAAAAAATGAGCAGCATCGACTGTGAAATCAAATCTATCAAAGGCTTAACGAAATTTGTTAAAAATTTGATGATTTTCTAGTCCAAAAAACTGTCGAATTTTGAAATATTCGACTGTGCCTGTTTCGAATTTAAACTCATTTTCCTTGTTGTCATCTTCAAGGTTGAGGACCTGCCTAAAATAAATATCTATATTTTTTATTAAATATAATAATTTTTAAGTCCCATTTTCGAGAATCGTTGAATTGAATTTTTGACATTTTCTGTACATTTCGACTTGTAGAAGTAATTTTTGGTTTCATTTCCCAGAAAATTACAACATTTTTTCCAGAATTGAAAAAATGAAAAACATATTTCCGGACATTTAAAAAATTTGAGATTATTAGGATTTATTATAAGAAACACCAAAGATTTTAAGGATATTTTTAGTATTAAGTTGTTGTACTTTAGCTTAGTTAGATCAAAGTTGGAATATTGTTGCGTAGTATGGTGTCCCTATCAACAAAATCATATATCACATATTGAAAATGTGCGTCGGAAATTCTGTAGTACTTATATTTTAAAATGTTTGGGTCATACCCGCAGAGGCACTGTGAACAAAATGTACTTTTAAATATTATAAATGAAAAACCTCTCTTTGCAAGGAGAAATGTACTTAGGTTAATATTCTTACAAAAGATTGTTAATGGTGAAGTCAAATGCGTGGATTTATTTAATGAAATAAGTTTTTGTGTTCCTTGGACAAACTGTAGAACTCCTAACATGTTCTACTATAAAATACCAAATACCTTCCACCACTTCGACAGTTCATTTATTGCTTGGTTAAGATTATATAATTGTATTATGCATCACCTTAATATTGATATGTTTTTTGATAATTTTAAGTGTAAGTCAATTATCTAATTTACTTGACGTTTATTCGTCAAATAATATTTTTAAATTATTTTCATTTAATTTTAATCACGCTTGATCTTTAGTAATTTCTCTATAGTAATTGAGCAACAAACAGCACCATTTATGCAACAGAACAATTATAATTAGGTACAACTTAACAAATTAAAAACCAAACATATTTTAAAATTAACACAACTCATAGTATTCTTTAAAACTTAGGATTGTCGAACCACTGGAAATTTTGTTTGCTGTTTTTATCAACATCATACTCAACACATCTCCCACTACAAAGCAAACAGATACATTACAATAAAAAAATACGAGTTATACAGCAGTCACCTCACTCTCTTAGCACATCCCGTACAGACCGAACTTTTCTTAAAACACTTCGTATTAAAAAATTGAAAATATAGACGACCGATCCCTTTGGCACAACCATCTTGTACACCTTTCAAACACCTATAAAGTTTTTCATCGCAGCTGCAATGACTTTTTGTGCTTAAACTGAAATTCCGCAGTCCGAACTTTTTGCGTCCGGGTTCGATATATTGTGGACACAGATCATGAGCTCGGCAGCATTTATCAAGTTCCTTTTTTTCTCCCAAATCTTCGAAATACTTTGCAATGAAACCGGGCCCGCACCACTTTGTACCTAAACAAAATACTTAGGACTAAATATTGACAAACATTAAAAAAGTACCAGGAAATGAGATTCTTATCTTAGTATTAGTCTGTTGGAGGGTACGAAATGTTATACCTGTTTCAGATTTTTCTGTTCTTTTTACATTGTGGTGGAACATCTCTGCAGCAAAACGAGATTAATATAGTCTAAAAGACATCTACTTACATATTTACAGAAATGTTGTTTTCACAATATACTTAAAATGTAAAAATTTAATACATACATACTTGTAGAAACGTATCTTTTGCTTAAGTTATCCTCTTTGGGGTACACTATAACAAACAACAAACACACTATTATAAATGAGAGTGAACTTCTGTCTAACATTTTATGTATGTATTTCTACGTTATGCAATAACGAATTTGAACAACTATTTTCCCTGGCAAAGCAATTAGACAGCGAGACTTATCTAAACAAGTTCGCCTACCATACTATCAAACAATATGTAGATAATAGAAATACTTTACGTATGCCCAGAAACTGATAATGATAATTGCACAAAAATATACTTACTTTGAACATTTTTAAAAATTTAGTTTTGTCGATTTATTTTTGTTCTAAAAAAATACGGCATTCTAAAAATCCGTAAACCATAAAAAAGTGAAAAAATGCAATAAAAAACTTAAAACGGATGTACAAAAGGCAAATGACAATTATCTGTCAACCCGACTGCATTTAAGATAGTAATGATGAAAATACCTATGTTTTAAAGTATATTTGGTTGCCTATTTAATTTCCGAAAATACATACCCTGTTATAAATAAACCGCAAACTAATAACTTCAGGGTTTGTTTCAAACATATTTTTTTATTGTATACCTGTTACTGTACTGGTAAAAAAATAATGCCAGATAAAAACTGAAGAGAAGTGAGAACTAAAAAAATCAAATAGTAAATATATAATCAGTCTGGGCAGTATCTAGATATATTTTTGGGTATCTAGTATCTGTCTCTAGATAACATCGAATTTAAGCACAAAATATCTGTATCTAGATACAAAATTAATAGCACAGATACAGATACATTTTTTATTTCACTTTTTTTTCAGTAGTTATTAGTTGAGTTATACGATTCTACGACAACTGGTCGCAAACAACTGATCGCGCGACAATTGATCGCAAACAACTCGTCGCAGCACAGTTGGTCGCACGCGACAACTGATCGCGGCGACAATTGATCGTAGCGACAATTGATCGCACGTAAATTAATCGCAGCGACAATTGATAGCACGTAAATTTATCGCAGCGTCAATTGATCGGAAGGTAAAATTCATCGGGAAGTATGTTCTTTTATTAAAACTAAATATTTTGTATTCTGAATTTTAAGTTGCAATAAATTTAGCAATCAGGTAACGTGTAAATATCGAATTAAAAACAAGTTGAATATAGATAAGTGACGAGGTTTGTAGTTCCACTTTAAAAATTAAAAAATACGAGCGTAAACACCTTGTTACATAAGATTTTTTATTAATAAATTATCATTTTGGCTATTTTTTTTAAGAGATTGTTACTATTTATGTCGTTGCTTATTTTACCTATTATATTATAGGAACTTGCTTCATTACAATAAGTACTCAACATAAAAAAGTGTTTATTGGTCTTAACTAGATTTATTATACAATTATTTAAAAAATCATATTTTTAACAACTTTTAAATTTTAACACATTTTGGTACAGAATTGCCTCTATTGTCTATTCTTGCCTTTATACATATCACCAAACAATAAAATTTATGAACTAATAGTACATCTAGTGTATTCATATGCAGCGAATGAAAATTCCACTGGACGGATATAATGCTTATTTTAATCCTTTGTAAATTGCAGCGGATCTTTTATAAGGTTTGAGAGAGGTTTACGTGTATTGTAAATATATATTGCAAAAACGTTTGTTAGAGCGTCAAGAATAATTTTGTGTTACCGGGAAATCTAAGAAATGTAGGTACTTATGCAACTAAAAGCTTACTTTTTAATTATTATTATGTGACTAGTATTGTACTGAAGAAAAATTCAGTTGTACCATATGTGGGTGTAAAAAATACATCACAATTACTTCTGAAAATTATTTTTACGCAACCCAAAATACAAATACCGTGTACCACTTGATACTAACTGAATGCTTTGAGCACAGTATAGAAATCAATCAGTAGAGACAACTCGTGTCGGTGCCTTTGATCTTTCTGACCCGAATTTTAAGCCGTCATCGGTGGTCGTTGTCCAAAATATTTCTAGATGTCGCCACCCATTTTAAAAAGGATCACAAACGCTTCACTTTAAAATTGATTCGTGTACACAATTTACTACACTTTGTGCAAATGAATTTTTGGAAAAGACTTAAAAATAGTGTAATAACAATAACATTTTGTAACTAGTTGATCTTAGAAACCACACAGTCTATTATAATAAATAATTAATTAAGCGTCCTATAACAAAGATGCCGTGGTGAAATTTAGATGTGGCCCGCTTCTCGGATTACGATTTTACGTTTCATTAATTTCTTTTTCATGATGGCTGTAAATGGTTGTAAAATTCAACGTTATTAGAAAACGCTAATATATGTACATTTAATTTTTTTACAAAAAAAATTTAACAGTTAACAATTACTTGTTACTCGTGATGTATTGATTGATTTAAATATTTTAAATAATATTAATAATAGATAATATAAATCTGTTATGTGCGTTGTTTTGTTCAACAATTTTTATTCCATGGGCCGCTTCAAAAAAAAAACTGTAGGTTACAGTCATCGGCAGTCTTATCTGGGTAATGAGGGGTACTGTTTATGACACTTCACCGGTTTGGCTCGAAACCCACATTTTATGCCTGGCACTTCCTCCAATATGAGTATATTCTTTGTTCCATGGTCAAAACTAATCTTTTTACGATCTTGTTTACACAAATGGCGTAAAAGTGGAGATTGGTATGTAGGTACTTGGCAAAGGGAATGAGATAAATTATTCATTCTTTCGTATCTACAAGCGCCTCATTAACAGTGTGAGCGTTCAAAAAAGTTCTAAATGAAAAAACATCTTTGGTTTTATCATCATGGATTAAAGATAATTCAGAACTAATTTGTAGTGACCAAAAAATTGTCTGCAAAGAATCCAATAAATTCTAAGATTAATTGTTAATATATAAATTCACATTTCTCTGCACCAAATTTATAAAAAATATATATATATATATATAATATCCGTTCGCAAAACTCCCGCACTGTCAGTGTCAGATTTGGAAAAAATGACCTGAGTGTACTCAGTGGTAAGATGTGAAAACCTGTACAATATGTTGCAAAATTGCAATCTAGTGACAAATTAGTAACTAAAAATAACTTGTCAAATAAAAATGTCAAAAGCACATTAACTGAAGATTTTTATCAATTCAAGTAAAGAAATAGTATGACACACGAACGACAACGAAAGCTTTTTTTGAATAATATATATTTTTGACCTTACTGTCCATTTCTACGCTTCTGGTGCTACAATTTGTTTGAATTACTGACAAGTTCTTTAAACACATTGAACACTTCAGCAAATCAAAAAGTTAAAATAGTTAATAAACATTTAATTTTTCATTAATTAATTTTGAAAATTTGAAATTCAAGGCGGTAATCATATAAACTTAAAAATCTTTTAGGGGATTATTTCTCATACCAACTGAATGTCATTCTGACAGTGCGGGAGTTTTGCGAACGGATATTATTTAATTTTTTAAACTATCAAACGTAATGAAAATAATTCTTTTTGACTTAAAACTGTAACGAGGGTTTTTTCACGATTTCATTGATTATGATAAATCTATAAATTTTTAATTTGACACTTGTAATAATTTAAAATCCATTTTTTATTAAAAAAAAATGACGTGTGTAACACGTTTTGAAAGCTATTTTTTTCACTCTTTTAATTGACAAACTTCAAACTTGTGAGAAAAAAAGCATGAATCATTTACTTAAGTGTCTAATTAACAAGACGAATAATCCAAATGAACATTACAGTAGCATACCGACGAAATATGTGTCAGCATTAAAAAAAATATTTTACAATATTTTCATTTTTTTGCACTTTGGTTTATTCGGAAATGAGCCTAATAGTTACTGTTTTTATGGAACTGTCTGTATTTATTTTGACACTTTTTTAGAAATAATGAAATTTTTGAGAATATAGCACTTTATTTTATTTTCCTCATTCATAACAATTACTTATTTTCTCTATAAACGCTATCATTTTTCGCCTGTGATCAATTGTCGCATGCGACCAGTTGTACTTGCGACGAATTGTGTTGCGATGAATTGTGACTGCGACCAGTTGTCGTTGCGACCAGTTGTCGCTGCGATCAATTGACGCTGCGAACAGTTGTTTGCGATCAGTTGTCGCGCGACGAATTGTGCGCGACGAATTGACGTGGTACCGAGTTATACTAGTAGTAATTTTTGATACTTCATGTTGGTGATTTTGGTCACATAAACAAAAATAGAGGTAAGAAGTCCACTAATAGTGTTCAGTCACGGAAATTTTCATATTTTAAATACCATCATTTCCTACATTGTAGCCTTCAGTACTTATACATCTTAAATATAATCCTGAGGACTTGAGGAGTAATAAATCTAAGCCATGGTAAGATCGTATTTTAAAAACCATAAACCACAATTCACTATACACTACGTTTTACGCTTATCGGGGCAATGCATTTTATCTGTGTACCTGAGCAACCCCGGTCCGGTAGGCCCGCTGGTTGTATTTCTGTTATTAAATAAGAGTAATTTTAATAGTAAAAATATTTGTTTAAGGTATGTTATTATTTTTATAAAATAATAATTGCGTGTTACATAATGATTAATTTTTTCAATTAGCACAAATTAGTTTTTTAATCGACTAATCGAATGTTCAATACATACATTTCTCTCGCATAAATCGCATATTTGTTACTGTTTTATACCTTGATTTTTCAGACAAATGTAGCATCTTTTCCTGTTGCCACATGTGTCATTTCTTCACTTTTTTAGTGTTGGACCTAACGCGAGGTGGGCTTGGCAGGTCCGTTTTGCCCTAGAATGTGCCGATTATGTTTAAGTGTTAATCTTGGGCAATAAAATTAATATTTTTACAACCCTCGGTAGAATAATTTATCGTGATATATTCTCAGAAATCGTGAAACGAGATTAAAATAAAATCAGTTTCAACAAAAATCTGAAAATTTAAAGTTGTACTCTGGTGATTCCGGCCTGCCAGGCAGCCTTTGATCCTGTAAGGGGTTTAAAAACCTTTCTAAGAAATTGTACTTATTTTGTCTTAAACGGAACCAGCAATTC